TTATTTCAGTCAAATAACTAGACTCTCAACGCGTGTGCTTATTTTTTGTCAATAATGACATGTATTGACTATTTCCATTCTAAATATCTTGAGAACGGTTTCTCGTGGCGATTTTACCAAGAGACATTTTTACATAAAAAATCATGGAAATGTATATTTTTTAGTCAGTAGTTTTATACAGGTACAGTCAAAAGTTATTACTCTTCAAAACAGTTAAAAGCTACATAACCCAGGTGGCATACAAATAGGAGTAATTTTGACATCAAATCAAATTTCTCGTGTCTAAAACTCCCAAATACCAATTTTCATCCAAATAATTGACGTTACTTCAGAAATTATTTGGAAAAAATCGAAATAAAAATGAAACTTCTACACCCTGTATCTCCGAAACTAAGCATTTTAGGACATATATTTATACGAACTTTTTTACTTATTTTGATCTGTAGAATATGCTGCCGAACTTTCCGGAATACAGTTCGGACCACCCTGTATAATATTTTTGTTTCTTTTATTATTAAGCAGGGCCTATACTAATAGAAAATGATCTTTTATATGATCTAAATATAGAGAGTTATATATTTTTGAAAAGTTTATAGCAAGTCAGATCATATGATTTATAAATTTACAGGGTATTCTATTTAAGAAAACATAAATTTAGTTCATATCTTCTAGACTATTCTTTTCGAAGAATAACAAACTACGCCACTGTATTCTATGTAAAAATTCTATAATAAACAGTTTTCACCTACTCGATATCTTTCTACAGGAAAAGATCCTGTAGCTCAGAAACAAGGAGGGTTACGTACAATTTTGTTTACAGCATCTTCCGTTTGACAAAAAGTGGGACAGGCTTGTGTAAATCGCGTCCTTCTATCTGCACTAATAACGGAGATATCGTATGATTTCAAAGAAAATGGGACACCCTGTACAGTTGGACGTGTCAAGCAGGCCTAAATTCAGCCACTAAAATTAATGTCGTATCGGCGACAGCGTTTTGTCGGAAATTGGACGCATAAAATCCGCCTTAGACGTATACGGTAAAACGGTGTGAGTGGATGAGGATGAGGCTTTACCGGCGTTCTTTTAACGTACAGTGTGACGATAGCTCTCTATTCCGAAGATGTTAATGAAGTAATAAAAACGTTAACGCGCCTGTCGTATTTAACGGCAACGTGTTTACATTAGAAATCATGGAAAAAGTCTCTTCTATGCGTTTAGCCGTAATTCTTGGCGTTTTAAAAGTTTTAAAATGCACACGGGCATGTATGCACAGCTGCATTTAATGAACGAATTAGGAGAAAATTGATATTGTTGAAAGGGCATTGTGGTCAGTGCACGATCCGGGAAGAAATTAAGTACCGGATTCCTCACTAAAAGGAAAAAAGAGAGAAGGTGACCGAATAGATATAATATGCAAATGTATGAGGTGTGAATTAATAAGAGGACATTAAAAACTGTCCAGGTTGTCCCGTTTTCGTGTTTACGGGGTTTTTACATTGCTTGTTTATAAAAAAAGAGCTTTTTTATGAATGCTTTTTATTAGCTCCAAAAAAATTGGAGTCAATATAAAACCGTATACTGTTCTAGCTTTATAATTTTGTAATGTTTTTTTTTTAATTTTTTTTAAAAAACGATAATTCTATTACCCGGCCGGATAGCTGTGGCCATTAAACCAAAATACTACTACATATACAGGGTTGTTCACCACATACGACACGGAGTATTGTAGCTAAATGATTAGATTTTTACAAATTGTAAGTTTTGGGTTCATTGAAGGACTATTAGAGATAATATTATATCACTCTGTATAAGATACAGATTGTCCCAAATAAATAAAAAATATCAAAGTTGTATTTTTTTAAATAGAACACACTGTATATTATTACATTTTTAGTTTCTACGATTAAAATAAAGGTAAATTTGATTAAAGTTTATTAAACTTAAACCTTACCGTTTTTGAAATATTTTCAATTTTGTGAAATTGCAGTAAAAATTTTAAGGCTTCATTTCTCCAAGGATATCAAAGTTTTTAATTTTAAGGTGTTACTTTTTACCACACTGTCTAATACACATACAAAATTCAGTTTTTTAGTATTTGGAGCAATTATTATTAATCAACGCAACCAGTCAATTAATGTAGTTTGAATACTGGAATCATATTAATTGGTCCACTTTAACAAATATTTATACAGTTTTTTTATTTCTTAATGAAATAAACAAACTGCATCTGATTCTCATAAAATATACAGGGTGTTCTATTTAAATTAAACAAGTTATTACCGTTTAAAGCAAGTAATTATTTAAAATAAAATTTTAGACACTCTATATAAGGTAGTATAATTTTTATTATTGCAACACAATAACTGATCAATAAAAAACGGTAAGATTAAAGTGCGGTAAACCTTAATCAAATTTACCTTTATTTTAATCGTAGAAACTAAAAATGTAATAATATACAGGGTGTTCCATTTAAAAAAATACAACTCTGATATTTTTTATTTATTTGGGACACTCTGTATCTTCTAAAAATATATTTAAATTGTAGCTCTAATAGTCCTTCAACGAACCCAAAACTTGCAATTTGTAAAAATGTAATCGTTTAGCTACAATACTCCGTATCGTATGTGGTGAACAATCCTGTATATCCCTGACTACTACTAACTGCTAGTAACCAACGATTTGTTTTGTGTGGTCTGTGGTCTGTTTTTCTTTAAACGTTTTGTTCATTATTCATGTTGGGGATTTAATTTTAAATTAATGTTTATCGTTAGGCAAACTCATAGAATACGTATTTCTTTTGCATAATCAAAATTGTCACTCTAAATTTTACATAACCAAATTGTCACTCTAAATCGCTGTCTTTTTTAGACAGATGTCACTTGTCTTGTCATTATTCAATTCATTAATCGAATTCTGAGAATATTGTTAACAAAAGTTTCATCTTAAAATAAAATTTTAATCAATCACAATTGTTTATCTCCATCACTTACCGAATTAATAATACAGAAATTACAGTTCAATTACAAACAATTCATTATTTATAGTGATTTACAGTAATTTTATTAAAGTATACGAATATTCTCGTTGATTATTGGTTTGAAATAAAAATGACAGTGTTCTCCAATGAAAATGCAATTACTAACTCTAAATTCTAATTCTGAGCTGGCAAATGAGCTAGATACTTTACCTAGACCGTTATTCAGAAGCTACAAACCTATCGATGAAAACATGCATCACCACATCAAGGTTGGTACAGTTTCAAGTTTATTATAGTGATTTTCTTAGCCGCGTATGGCACAGATCGTTACCCAGTGTTGCCACAAGCTTATTTTTCATCGGGGTAGATTATCACGAGATAACGGGGTTAAATGGTTTTACAAAGGGGTAGCTGTGGCAACACTGCCGATATCACTTTTCCTCTCGCTAGCATGCGAGCCATTCAAGGCCGTGTGTCAATGATTTTTCTTCTGTTAGAAAGCCGAATGGTTGGTGTATTTCAGACATCAGCACCAAATTGAGCAACTTTGCCTCCTATAGTATCGCTTCTAGTTTCCGAGACCCTGAATGATGAGGCTCGGTAATTTGGGACACCAGGTACAATCAGGTTTCACAATCAAAAACTAATTAAGGTATCGATCAAAAATCAAAATGTCATCTCGTACACGTTTATTGAAAAAATTGGCCATAGATCAAGTCATTCGAGTGAAAATACTTAATTTTAACCCAATTCTATGGTAATTTGAATGTGCTGTTAGATTTTTTTGGGAAAGGAGTGCCGCCCAGACCCATTGTATTTAAAATTATTGTTCATTACTTTACATTACATGGCCGTATGCCGAGTCATTTAATTCTTCTTAATAACCATCTAGCCTTAATTCTTTACAAATCCTTTAAAAGCATGAGCTTGTTTAACATGACAAAATGACTTAGTAAAACTTGTTTTTTACGACAAAAATTTTTGTAAATATATTATCATGTTGAACTTGTTATTACAAACAAAATTATATAATCTATATACAGGGTTCAGATAAAAAAAAAAGCGAGATTTGTTATGTTAGTATTATATGACATAAATTAGGATTGATTGACGTATTCACTTGTTTTTGGTTTGGTCAGTTCCTGTTTCACCGGAAATGACTACAACTTTTGATTTTTAATGGCACCCTCGGTATATTTTTACTTTATTCGATATAAAATGACATTCTCAATAAAATGCCATATCATATGTCAACTTTTGACATTTTCGCTTAAAAAATATTGTATTTTAAATTTCAATCTAGAGTGCCATGGCTGTGTCAAAAACAATAACTTTGAATCAAGGAGCCTTGGAAAAACAGATTTCATCGTCTAATCTTTTTCGTGTCTTGTCCTGGCCCGTTAAAAATGCCCAAATAGTATTTTTAATCATATCTCAAGTTTTTCAAATGGAACAAGGTTAGCTCATTAGCATATTTGGAAAAAGCATTTTTTACGAATAATTTGGTACCACACAATTGGCATTTCGAGTCAAATTGTCGTTGAACAGCATGTTACAATTTCAAGTAAACCATATGCGAAAGTGTCAAAAGTTGGCTTATGATATGTCATTCTATTCGGAGTGTCATTTTCTATCAAATAAAGCAAAGAAATATAAAATGTGTCATTTAAAAATCAAAAGTTACAGTCATTTCTGGTGAAACAGGAAGTGACCAAAAACAATTGAATACGTCAATCAATCCTAATTGAAGTCATATGTACTGACATACTAAATCTCCTTTTTTCATCTGAAAAAAAAATAAAGCCACTTTTGGCCAGGGGGAGCCACTTTTGAGACGCACCCCGTATATTATTATATGCTAGCCATATAGTAGTATTACATATTATATGCATTCACCCGTGACGATCTTAGGTCCTGTCAAGTATGAAATTGTCCACTTAGGACGTCAGCAATTGTTTAGTTTCGTAATCAATCTAAAGTTAGAGCTCTAACACCAAAAAACTATATATAAATGTAGTCTTACCTGTTGTAAACGCAGCCAGAGGCAACTGCCTAGATATACTCTCAGCAACCTCAGAAGTCAGTCCGTATATACCCAACAGCTCCCTCATAGTATTCATCGCGTAATTCCTCATCTCCGATATCTGATCCGGGCTCAGATTCTGAGACAGCATAGCCGCCTGATCGCTAACGTGAGGCTTACTCAAATTGTGAATCGAAAAACTACTCGGAATCTTACTAGATTCGTTATCTTCTGAGTTCGCTTCTGAATCCTCTTTCGCCTCATCGTTATCTGAAGGCGTCCGATAGTTTTCAGTATTGAAATCGTCCGAGTCCGTGTTTTCCGAGTCTTGCTTCAGTTCTGAGTCATGACTCAGACGTTCGGAAGCCTCTGAGTCGTTTTTGGATCCGCTCAGATCCATCGGAATGAAACCTGAATCTTGAACGACTCTTCTCGGCCCAGCAATGGGTTTTCTGCGTCTCACGTTGTTATTCACATTGTTATTTTCGTGAAATTCGCTCAGATTCAGAACGCCTTCGTCTTCTGAGAGCACGTTCTGAGAGCATCTGGGTTTGAAGTTTTTTCGTTTGTTTCGTTTGGGTTCTGAGCTGGTTAGGGTGCTTTTGGGCGAGGTCGGCGTGTAATTGTGTGTTTCCTGTTCTGAGTCGCTGGAGTTCTGAGGGTCGGAGTAAGGGGTGGTGTGCGAGAAGGGGTGCCTGTGGTGGTAGGTATCCATGGGTTCGGGGTGGGCGAGTTTTAGGGTCACTGCATCTGTAAGAGAAAACAAATTTAGTAAAATATGAAATTGTCATCAACTGTCTGCAAAGATTTAAATCAACTTGATTTAAACCAACGGATTTTTTATTTTCATCTCAATCTCTCATCATCAAAAATTTTACGAATATTTCCGCATGGAGAAAGAAACGTTGAAGTATATTTTCAACAAAATTGAAAACCGTTTAAAGAAAATGTGCAATTTTCAAAATAAACTAGTCAAAACGAATTAGGGATCACTTTGATAAATTTCGTTTAAACAAAGAAAATATATTTATTCAAACATAACTTTGGCAATATGTTCCTTAGGAATTAAGTTTAAATCATGTTTAAATGTAGTGTATGCACCTTGATGTTCATGACGAGAAAAATTGTCAAACTGCTGAAAATTGTATGTTTATTACGTTATGAATGACTACAATAATATGCATCGAAAACAATGCTATTATATATATATATTATATTATATATAGCTATTATATATAATAACATTTTTTATCTTAATTTATTATTAACCACGATTCTGCTTAAACTGCTTGACGTAAAAAGTTTATTTTCGGCAAACGGATTTTTCCAAAGTCAAATTCCAACGAGATGAAACTACCCCTCACATATTTCCAAGTTATATAATAATATCGCCATATTGTTTTTTCTCATGCTGACATAAATGTGAGAAAATTTTATCCAGTTTTTATGTTAATGGAAATTCTTGCTTTGCTTTATCATCACCATTACAAATGATTAATTCGACGCGAACGAAGTCGCGGGTACACGCTAGTAGTTAAAATAAAACAGCCGTATATCTATCAACAATAAAAACAAATAAACTTGGCGGTCATCTAAAAGGAAGGGTTATAGAAAAAATTGTATTCCGAGTATATAGAAATAAAAACCTTTAGAAAAATCTTAAAAATGCCTAATAACTCGGACCCGGGCATAAAACACCCAACAATGGCGGCCCAAAGGCAAAAAGACCCGTCGGGATGATTCCGCGAACTTAAATTTTAATTATTTCTGCTCAGGGCCCCGGGCCCGCCGAAATTCTTGCAAGTTTTTATTAAAATTTGTTAAAACGGGCACGATCGGTTCGGACGGCCGCAAATATTTTGCGTAAAAACGACGGCCAGACAGAATTTTCGCCAGTTTGGCAGAGAGGGCTGCCGATATTTTTGTTGTCTAGAAATTTCAGAAATCCTCTCTCGTTCCTTTTTTTATAAAGCGTGTAGTTTTTATCTGACGGAAGATGAGACGTCGTGTCGGGAGCTTAATTCTTTTAGCAAGAATATTAGACCGTGTTTGAAGACGTTTAAAAGCAAATGCAAGAAAAATGTTAAGGAGCGATTACTGGTTAAAATAAACAGTAGGTACTTTGTTATAAAAACTTTGGGTCAATAGTTAAGAGTCGATTTCACTAGTCCGAAAAAGTAGCAAAATAAGCGTTCGGCGTTTTAATTTTTTAATTTAACGTTTTATGTCAAACTGGCTAGGTATTTGTACATAAATGAAGAAGGAAATTAAAGATAAATGTTTATACTATATCCGTATTGTAGCATATTTTTAGACAACTTCTTTATGTTTAAGATTTTGATGGTCAAACATCAATAAAATATTCCTTATTTTTGGACTAAATTTTCTCGAGAATAAAGACATAATTTAAAATTCCGTTACAATACGGAAATAGATTGAAATTTTGTGATTACAGTGATATATAATTTATATATATGGTTTTGTAACAAATTGCTCGCTATTTTATGGCAAATGCTGAAGCAAATCTTAATCAAGCCTTAATGAAAGCACGTGTGTTTGGAATTTTGGATGTGGCTTAATACGACAGGATCGGGCTAAGCCTTAGGCAAATTTCTGAAATATAATATACAGGGTGTTTCAAAACAAATGCGAAAAACTTCAGGGGGTGATTCCTTGTTCAAAATAAAGGGTAGTTTGCTTCATAAACGTTGGGTCAAAAGTCAACCATTAGGGAGATATCGCGGTACAAAGATGGCGGAAAAATAATGTTCTTATTTTTTATCTTGAAAACGAAAAGAGATAGACTAATGAAATTTTATGGAAGCATTACTGTTATGAAAACACACTTTCTGGTAATTTTTTCACTCTTTTAAAATGAGTGGAAGGGGTTGAAATAAACTATCCCTATCATTCTTTTTAACGAAATTTAAAGAAAAATCTTATCAAACACATGCAAAAATTAATTTGGATAGCTTAGTTTGTTTAGAAACTTTTTTATCTCTTGTGTTTTTTTGATAAAACTCACCGATTTGAAATTAAAAAATAAAATGTAAAGCATTACATGTCAGGACTAAAAATATTTTTAGATTAAGAATCTAGTGATAATAATGATAATAATAATAACCTAGATAATAACGTATTGCAGTAGGGTAATGTCAAATAAAACAATATTAGAAACATCTTAAAAGTGACAGCGGCCGACTAGATTTTTTCCTAAAAAATTACAGCTACCCACTAGATTCTTTATCTAAAAATGTTTTTGCCATGACATGTAATGCTTTACATTTTATTTTTTAATTTCAAATCGGTGAGTTTTATCAAAAAAACACAAGAGATAAAAAGTTTCTAAATAAACTAAACTATCAAAATTATTTTTTTTGCATGTGTTTGATAAGATTTTTCTTTAAATTTCATTAACAAGAATGATAGGGGTGGTTTATTTCAACCCCTTCCACTCATTTTAAAAAGTGAAAAAATTACCAGAAAGTGTGTTTTCATAACATAATGCTTCCGTAAATTTCATTAGTCTATCTCTTTCGTTTTCTAGATAAAAAATAAAAACATTATTTTTCCGCCATCTTTGTACCGCGATATCTCCCTAATGGTTGACTTTTGACCCAACGTTTATAAAGCAAACTACCCTTTATTTTGAACAAGGAATCACCCCCTGAAGTTTTTCGCATTTGTTTTGAAACACCCTGTATATTTCCTTCGGCCACACACCCGCTTTACCCAACCCCTGAGAGCGACCCGAAAGTACAGCGTAATAGACTCTTTAGTAAAGAGTAGATAGATAGTAGACTAGTAAAGAGTCTTTACTAGTCTACTATCCTTTTTATAGAGTAAACCGTTGCACTGGTGTATTTTGGTCTACAACCTTCATCACCGACATCTTACCACTTTTCCTCTCATGTGTCGTGTCATGGCTTTGAATTTTTACTCCCATCGCGCGTAAAGAAGATTCACTTCAAAAATAAAATAAAAATCATTACGTGTGGGTAAAATGAAGAAGATATATAGAACTTAATATTTTTAGAAAAGACGCTGCTATAATGGAAACGGAAATGTAGCCATATGGGTATCCCGCTAAACGGCAACACCAAGGCAACATCATCTAGACAATAAGTTTTGCAGACGACTAAGTAGTACTGGTGCAAGACTCCGACGATCTCGAATTCTTTCGAACCAGAAAGCTAATTGAAGAATATAGCAAATGGGAATTGGAAGTGAATTTAGATAAGATAAAATTATAAATACTTGGGAGTCAAAATTTCAAGGGATGGCACTCTTGATAAAGCCATTAGGAACAGAAACGTTCAGGCTAAATGGCGTCTTGTGGGATAGTAACATCTCGAAATCCAATAAACGTCCAATATACAGCACAATGGTTAAAATCATCGTATGGCACCGAGGTATGGCAACTAAAAGATAATAAGGCCTTGCGCACCCTGGAAGCGACAGAAATGGATTTCTGGAGACAGCAGGTAAATCCAGAAGAGAAAGTATGTACGAACAACAGATTTCGAGGAATTATTGGAGTCAATCGAACAATAGCTGACGACATATGAACGAAATAATTAATATGGTATGGCCGCGTACAAAGAATGTCAGAGGAGCTTCCAAAACAGATCCTCAACTGGACACCAGCGGAACGACGAAAAAGGGGTAGACCACGCAAAGGCTGGAGAGAAGGAATAGACAATAAGCTAAAAGAACGAGAGCTTATTGAAGACGACCTCTGCGATTGATATATATGTTACAGTAAAAGTTGGAAATCAGTGATTGTTGACAATTACTAGTAATAGCTCACATTCACTGATTTGCTAAGACTACGCCAGTAAAAGTTCAACAGCTATTTTTAAAACTAACTTTTACTGGTGAATGCTTAGCATTCCCTGGACAAAAGCAGTAAGTTTGAAAGATTCAGTTAGCGCGGTTGCCACATGTTGTAAAATATAAGGATAAATAAGGATAAGTTGTGAATAATAGGCAATATAAGGATAATATTAAATTAGGCTAAACATTGGCAATGTTGACAGACATCTGGCGTAAATTCGCATTGTTTTTTTTTGTGGTTATGTATATAATTGTTTTGTTATCGTTGTAAAAAGTGCTGTGCGGTATTTTCCCTATGAAAGAAATTTTCTGTGAAAAATTAAGGCAAACTAGGCACTCCCAAGAATGTAATAGTACTTGTTTTCCTTTTTTTACAATATAATGAAATCAGGGCAAGAGGAAAATATATTAAGGAGCCTTTGTGTGACTATATGAACTTATTATAAATTATTATTATATTATTAGTGTATTGCTTATTATTCGGGCATACTTTATTTTGTCCACGATTGAAGAACTTTATTAAAAAACACCTTGTACCAATAAGTAATCTTATGTTTATGAATGTTTTTTTTAATTGTTTTGTACACTTCAAAATGTTTAATATGTTTTCTCCTTTAATATTTTTAAAAGGTTATGTCGTTATTTTCTATAATTTTTAATAAATATACTAAAGAAGTAAATTGTAATTTTGAAATATGTGGATCAGCTTGAATATTTAGGTGATCTAATATTCTTAAAAGTTTTATTTGTTCTAAGTTCCAAGAACATTCTTCCTCGTCACACTCGCTACTACAATGGAATAACTTTTACTGGCAACCTTTAGTAAATGTTACTTTCACTAGTGAATGTTAGAAATCACTAGGAAAAGTCGACAAATCTCTTTAAGATACCACATTCACTGGTCCAATGCGTAATTGTTAGCATTTCGTAGTGAATGTTAACAATCACTGAATTTCCGACTTTTACTGTAACATATATAAAATGAAGGTGAAATCGATGAAAATAAAAAGAGTCATAGATCTTGAGGACACAAATTAATATATATAAAGATAATTGAATATACATTTTTCCGACATAAGTTACCAACCTCCAAATAAGTCTTTGGCATATATTAATGCGAAAAAAGCTAGAGAAAAATTTTGGCCCCCCATATTTTGACATATAATACTCTTCTGTATACGCTGAAAAGTCTTCTTCTTCGTGCCGTTGAACGAATATAAATATAATTATAGCACCTCTCGGTCACTCGTCTCTCAAATAAACAGCCTGCCTGCCGGCCTCCGGTCACTTTCCTGCTGCAACTTTTTCTGTCAATAACAAATTCGACGACGGACGCACTGTTTGTCCAGCACTTAGACTGTCCCGGCTCTCCACATTTTATTATTTAACAAAAATGCGTCGATTCACCGTTAACCAAACGAAAAGTGGCCGAGCGCTGCTGTTTGCTCCTTTTTAACCATTTTAACACCTCTTTTTAACTGAATTTTCCGTAAGTGTGCTCTCTTGGCCGGTTCGAAAAATGCATCCTATAACCAGTTTGCTCCGACGGATACATAATTAAGAGATGTTTGGTAAGAAAACATAAAAAGGTCCCGGAAAAGAAAATATGAAGTAGGATTTAAACTAACTCAAAATAAGTTTGTTAGGTCTGTTACACATTATTATGTTACAGTAAAGCTTCATTCAGGACCTGGAAATTAGTGGAATCTACCGGAAATTAGTGGAACGATCATTTACATATTAATCAGCCTTACATGATTTGTTCTCTTAATATCTCCGGTTAGAGAGAATATAGAAAGTTGCGGTTTGGCGCTGATATTTTGGAAATGTTGTGCTCTATTTATCTGTGTAAAGAGAAATACAGCCTCCTATTTAATTTTTTTACGCAAAAGCGCAATATCTGTTTTGATGTCAAACAGCGCCCTCTAGCTACCACGAAAAAAATTGTGGAAACAAAATTTATACTGGAGATCATTAAGGTAGAAAAGCTCTTTTACACGAGCCCTAATTTGTTTAAATCGCATAGCCTAAACCAGAGTTCTCCTTATTTTAATAAAAGCAAGTTTAACCTTCCCCCACCACTTTATTTTATGAGATAGAGCAAAATACTTTATATCAAAAAAATTACAAATTTCTCGATGATTACAATATTAATATTTAAAATACCTGTTCACCTGCATATTTTTGAGAAAAACCCTGTTTTCTGATTGTCTATTAGAGAAACGCCCCCTAGCGAGCATTTCTCGAACTTGAAAATAATTTCCAGCGATTTCTCTTGATCGATTTACTTATTAGAATTTTTTTCCCAAAGTTATATGATAAGTAGTTTCTGAGATACAGCCGGCGTCCATTCTTAGTTGGCCACCTCGTACGTATATGATCAATCGTGCTGAAGCCGCTTCTAAAGCCGTATACGTATACGTGTAATTCAATCAGGTACTTTGTGACAACTTTTTGCAACTTTTAGCTTTATTTTAAATTAAGATTTAGAGTTATAGTCTATTTTTATTACTCATGCGGGGAAAGTAGTATCTTTTCGCTTTCTTTTGGAGTCGAAAAGACGCTAATTGCCCACTTCACAATTACCACAATAGTTTTGAGCAAATTTAATGTCGATTTGAGTGCGACAAGTAAACTTCTCGCACCCAAATTTTCATTGGCACGCACAAATTGACAAGTAAAAAAGACAGTCTCGAAGTGTCAATATTAAAGAAGTGAGGTTGACATTTAAATATTTTTTTTATTTTTTGTTTATTTTATTAGGTTGCTTTTTAATATGTGTCTTTTGTTATATTTCATCATGTAAACAAATTATTAAACACCATTATGAAGAAGCAATGTTAAAATTCCTTCATTTTCTCCTCTAAAATTCGAGTTAAAAATTTGAAGTTTTTAATGTCACTTTCTGCATTCATCTATGGTGTTGTAGAGGGCATCTATGGGCTAGAGCGAATGAGCGCACTCGCTTTGCTCGTGCGCTCAACTTCGCTCTCGTGGGCAATCGACAACTTTTCGCACTAGTTGCACAATATACTATTATGTTACGTTATTAGATATCAGGGGCGGATACAGGAATTTATTTTAGGGGGGGGGGCAAATAAAAAAAATTATGTAGAATATGCTTTTTAGGGCGCCATTTTCAATCCAAAAGGCTAATATTTAACCCAACTTAGAGATTTTAGGGGGTGCCAGGGCCCCATGGGCCCCCCCTCTGAATCCGCCACTGTATTAGTATATTATGTTATATTATCCATTTTATTTATAGTTAATAAACATCCATATTATTGTTAGTATTACCTGTATTCAAGCCATAGGAATTTGGTGACAGAATTCCAGATGTTACAGTAGCCATGGTTGACAACATAAAAACGGCAACATTCCTGAAAAGAAAAATGCATTAATTAGTATTTTAAGTGCCTATTTAAGCCTTATGGGTATGTTTACTATAGTAAATATATTATTACATAGTCTAAAACTAGTCCATAGTCCAAGTTTTTAAAAAATAAAATTAAAAATCCATGGTTAATGCTGCATTCTCTGGCACGTCACTGGCCATATAGTTTAGTGACATTTGGTAACAATTTTAGTCCTGGTGATATTGTCCGTTGGTGATTGTTGTAAGCGAACTCTAATGTATTCTGTATGGTAAGGAACTGATCTTTCACGGTATATTGACAACGCCCGCCATAAGCCGTATAAATACTTAATTTTCTAAACTGTTTTACTTTGAGATTTTACTCTATTTTATTATGCTTAAAATTTACTGCCGACCGGTTCTCTGATTGTAAACTTTAACGGCCGCTCCGCGATAAATTGTCGTCAGTTTTCACAACACGACCGTCTTACATCCCGTTAACGATATTTTTGTCCGAAGGGAATGATATTTCTCCAACAAATGATAATATTGATTATCGATTTCCATCAATAAATCTATTAGAGTCCATCAATAAATCTATTACACTATAAAATTTCTTTGCCAAAGATTTTATTTGAAAGATATTTTATGACTAACCTAACATTATCAATTTTTTTATCAAATATCTTTTATTATAAGAGATCTTTGATAGTGTAATAGTAGCCTAGTAATAGTGTTGGGTGCCAGGCCACAGCAATGTGGTGGGCAAGCAGATAGACTCGCCAAAGAGGCCAGGGGAGAGGCCGTGGCAGTGACCCACCACTTGTGACGATCAACACACTGAAGGAAGCTATAGGAACTGCCATCAAGGCCAAGCAGCAAGAGACGTGGCAACACCGTGAGGACTGCGCTACTGCTCGAAGACTATGGCCAGTGGTAGATAGTAAAAAGACAAAACAACTACTAGAGCACAAAAGGAACCTAGTACGCATAGGTGTCGTCACTGGAAGTTGCCACACGGGGGTAAACCTCGTGAGATGGAAAATTTCCAACGACGACTACTGCACAGAATGCGGAGAGGAAGAAGAAACCATAGAGCATCTGCTGTGCCACTGTCCGGCACTGGAATAGCGACGCTTTAAAACTTTAGGGCAAGTTTTTTGGAGGGACTAGAGGCAGCAGCAGAAGCTAACATCAGCAACATCGGGAACTTTGCAAAGAGCTGGAAGTGCTTTAACGCAAAGAAAGAATGAAAAGAAGGTTTGGTACAACAATACGGGTGTATCACAATGGGTCCAAGGCCTCCGAGTGAGGGATCAAACATGATCCCAAACCCCAGCAAGCTAACCTAACCATAGTAGCCTAAAACAACACAGTTTATATACAGTTCATACAAAATAAACCTTTAGTCACGTGATTAAGCTTGACCGGCACAGCGTTGCCCATTTTTATGTATTTTCTTTTAATCAAAATATTTTGGGAAACAAAAATAAAATAATTATAAATATATAAACAGTTATTATTTATATCAACAAAACTCACCTCCTCAACAGCACTTAAGGGTGATAAAAGGCCATTACTACCGCTTTCCCGTTCAAAATATTCAAAATATCGTAATAAATAAAGTTGCGATGAGTTTTTTACGGCTACTAAGCAATCTTGAACACTTCGCACTAAAAGAGGTTCAACTGCAAGGTCTGCTAGTAAACATTTTTAAACTTAAAGTATCACAATACTATTTATTTAAACAAATTATTAAAGCGTCAAAACGAACTACAATGTCAGGAAATAAATAAATAAATGCGGCAACTTGACAGTTTAACAGCGACAATAACACCTGCTACAACCTGCCTTTATTATCTATATTTGTTTGCAACAATATTTTTTTTATTTTTCATTCGTCGTCTAAAAAAAAGTTTAATAATTAATCGTGTACAAGTTTTATTTTATAGCCTCCATTGGTTAATTTAAAAAGGGAAGTAATGCAATTGCGTAAAGGTAAACAAGGATTTAAAAGTTATTCAAAACAAATTAAGTTAATTTAGATTAAATGGTATTTTATATGGAGAGGAATCTTTTACCAATCCCTGTACATTTAGGTAGTGAGATAAAATTTGGTAACGTGGTGTAGTTTTTCACCCTAGAACTTTTATTAATAACTTTTCATCGTATTTTTACATATACAAGTACTTTGTTCTTAGCGTTTTCCATAGTTTTTAAACTTTTTAACACTCGGTATATACATTTGTAAAAATAATATACCTGTTGGTCGTTTAAGCTCAAGCAGGAGTTTTTATGAAGAATAACTTTTTTTCATAAACCCACGAATAAAAAAGTTTTCCCTCTTTGGGAGTCAATCCGTGAACACACTGTATGTATTATCATAGAAAAAATAAAAAATAAATCCTTAAAAGCTTACGTATGTATTAAATGTATTTCCAAAAGAAGTTATATTAAATCTGTGATCTTATTTCGAAAGATATACCGTATATTGCTGCGCAACATCTGTGCAAAAAGTCACTGTGGGTCGTAGGAACTGCGCAAACATTAAAACGAAAGAAAAAGGCGATTTTATTGAAAATATGATTTAAAACGACGCCATACCTTAAGGTAATGGCTGTAAATGGCCGATTTTATGCCTTATATGTTTTAATACCACTGTTACTTTGGATTTTTTGCCTGATTTCGAAATTGTTACATTGTTCTTAATCTTAATCGGACCAGTTCAGTTGTGAGAACATATTTATATTTTTTTAGGATATCTTGTTGCTTTGATATTTTCTATGTTTATAATATATTATTGTCTCTTAGCATATTTTGTGAAGTTAATAAATGTAGACTGAAAAAAAAATATAAGTAATTTTACAAAAAAAAATATTGATACATTAGCGTATTTTTAATAAGAAACTTAAAAGATATTTTTTCATAGTTTCACAAAAGAATGTAATTTGTCAAAAGAGTTTATTAATATTACACGATTATTACTAAACAATATTATTTTCACAATGAGTGTTGTGAGTTTAAACAATAAATTTAAATCAGAAATACAATCTTAGTAGTAAAATTGCATATCTCTAGACATATACACAAAACTTGTGTGAATTTTGGTGAAACTTCGGGAAAGGTGACTTCTTGTGAAACTGATGCCAATTAAGTAATCGATTGAAAAGGTAGTTACAGGAAAGGCGAAGAACAGTTTAATCTAAGCAGTTTCTTGAACAGGTGGGAGTTTCAGTGCGTGGGTGATTAGTGTTTTTATAATTTAAGGGTAAGTATATTATATTAATTATGTTTATAGGTAGTTTCTGTAAAACATAAAGCCAACTCTCTTAGAAAACACGATCTCCATTTATTATAATTATTTGCGATTTTTTATGTAAACATAATTGTTCCATGATCTCTCTATATCAATATATCTCTAAGTATTATCGTTTATTATTTATTCTTTCAGATTGTGTTTCGGAGGACAAATTTAATAGAGAACCGGAGTAGAGAATTATATACTTCCATAGTCTCTAAGTTGGTAAGTTGACTGTTTATTTGATTAGATACCCTTTTCTTGCATGTTTTTTTTTATTTTGTATTTAATGACAATTTTGTTCCTATTTTGGTTAGGCTCACAATTCCAGTAAGGTTCTTCTAGACAAGAAGAGATGGCAATGAAATATTATAAAAGATAAGCAAAAGATAATATCAAATGTAAAAAAAATATAAAAATTTAATATAAAATGTGCCTGGTTGGAGTCTATCTCACATAGCTCTGCATTCATTTGCCTTATCTATTATACGATTTAAATAATCTGAAACCGGAATAAAACAGTAGAAATAAATAGGTGAAACATTCCGTTGTTTTCGAACGTATACATCGGCGATTATTGCTTCTGAGAAGAAAGTGGTTTTATAAACGATATCTATGTAAAATTATTTGTTTGTTGTTCGAGGTTTTATGGTAGCGAGTGCTATAGGCAATATTTAACATACAGTGTGTAAGAGAGAAACGGATTAAATTCGATATATTAAACTAATTTGGGAGTGGCATTTTTTATTGAGAGATTTTTTAAACAAAAACTTTTTACTTAAAACTTTGTTTTCTACTTTATCTTGTTTTTTGTTATTTTATTTTTTATAATAATTTTTACAACTGTTGTTTGGCCTATCACTAAAAAAATTGGGTGTGCACTATATGCGCCTATTTGAAGTGAAACTCCTTACTAACGTCTATTAATTTGGAGGATTTGAAGATTTAAAAAGTGACATAAATGCTGTTTTAATATAAATATTTTTTTCAATTTATTTCTGTAATCTGTACATTTTCTGTTCCCTCAACAGCCTGCAAATTTTGTGGAATACCACTCAAAATACACATTTTTATGCAAATGCCTATGTAAACGCTTAAATTTATTAGAAGAGAAAAAAGTTTGAACCTAATCAACAATTTGTATTTATAGTGGTTCGCTGTAATGTTGTTAAATTATACGAATACTTTCTCGTTGATTATTGGTTTTAAATATATATGATAATGTCCTCCAATGAAAATGCGAGTTGCTTTTTTAACTCTAATAAGTCTAATTCTGAGCTAGGGAAATGAGCTAAATGCTTTACCTAGACCGTTATTCAGAAGCTACAAACCTATCGATGAAAATATGCATGAAAATTTCACACCTCTACTTTTCAACCAATAACATGCTTTAATGTTGACTAGTTACCATGGCAACTGAAAAAATTTCCGGAAATTTTTTCGAGGCGCCACGAAACTTTAGTGGAAATTCTTTGACAGTTGAAAAGGTAAACATAAGATCTACAATCATAATGTGAATGAACTACAATGTCTATATATTGAAATTAATTGATGCTCACAGCTAGAATTTTTTTGCATTACAGCCGGTGCCGTTCAAAGCCTACTTATTTAAAGCGGGCGAATTTTTATATACTCTATATATCTCGAAGAGGAATCGAGCAAAATATCAAGTGTGTTATATTTTTGGAAAGGTAATTTTAAATTATTTTCAATAAATTAAAAATATA